AGTGAGGTCGGTGTCGAAGATAACGGGCATAGCAGGCTTTTCAGGAAAGGGGGCGCCACTGACAGGGCTATTGTTAGCACAAAGGGAAATGTAGCAGAGACTAAGATAAGCTTACTATGGAGGAGGAAGAGGGGGAGGAGGAGGGGGTGGACAAATTGGGGCCATGACAAAACTTGTTTGCAAGAGGTAAAGTTGGAATGTAATGGTGTTGCGGCAATCGAGCGACGCGCCACTCAAAGAAGGATGAACACCCAAGGGCGGGCGCGACGTGCCTAAGACGCAGAACAAGGACGACGCACAGGCCACATTAGGCAGCAGCGCGACGCTTGGGAAAGTACACCCTATTCGATAGCAACTGCTGGCGCTTGTTTAGATTTCAAAACTCGAATACTCNAGCGCTGNTAGCAATNATTTATNTACCTACATGTCAGAGTTGGTAGGCGTGAGGATAAAAAATGCGAAGGCGCGGGTATGGCATTTACTGAATACTGGGCATCGGTCAGGCTTGCGCTACATTCGTGATGACTCCATTCAGCCGCTGCGAGGNCAAGCCAAAGTATCACGCAAGGCTGGCGGCTGACAAGGACGCACGATACCACTNTAGCTGTTGTGTGGAATCTTGGCGGGCGGGTTTACTTCAGCCCTGCAGACCTTGGCCATGCATCCAGTCAACTCTTCATTCTCTGCTTAACATAGTTTAGACATTATGACTGCTATCCACACAGGCTTTGCTGATATTAATTCTCGTACAAAACCTTACTGCCACCGTTGCGACCGAACATTCGATACCGGTCGAGCAAGAGACCAGCATTATGATGCCTCGGCTCGTCACCACATTTGCGATGTCTGCCAGTTCGACGGCTCCTCTTATGACGAGTTAGTACAACACAATCGCAGCACGCTTCATAGGATTATGTGCGATGGTTGTGACGATGATGGGTGGTGGATACCGGATAGCCAAGCGTACAAGGACCATTTGAGGAATGATAATGTGTGTACGACATGCGAGCGTCATTTCGATAGCCTCAACAACCTGCGACATGTNGGTATCACCGTGTTTGAACGCACTACTCGTACCCTGATTCAGTCCTCGCTCTAATAGTTAATAGCACAAGCTAGTGCACCTGAAACCTTCAGTCGAATGCTATGGTTGCACTCGGTCCTTCACTACTTATTCTGGGATGATAATCCATCTAGAGTCTGGGACGTGTNCGTCTNGTATTGATATTCTGGACTTAAACAAGTCAGCTGCAATGTGTTANCAATGGCAGAAGTTCCTGGANGNGGANTACCGTGACGATATCCTTAGCTGTTATGATTTGGAGGAAGAGTACGATGGCGCGGTTTATCCGTTNANGTGTCCAGAATGCGANACTACGTTTTCNAAACTTTCAGGACTCTTCCAGCATGTAGGTAGTGGGTCTTGCGAACAGAGGCTAAACGGCGGGCCGATAGCTAAGCTTGTGAAGTGGTTGTCAAATAGACATGCCTAGGAGGCAGATTTGGAAGAGCTACAGCAAGGCCATATTTCAATCAAATGACGTTGTTTGTATTCAACCAGCTGCTCGCACTGAAACTATACACTACACAAAGTAGAGTGGAAAACTTACTTAGCATTGCTCCTCCTAGAGGGGCTTAGAAAGCGCTTCCACTTGGCTCAACAGTTTGGCTCATCGCATCGCTACAACCACANTTGCCCCCAGCCACGATGTGGAATTATCAAAGTAGCAACACTGACTAGCCAAACGAACAGAGTAAGTACTACCAAAACTNATTCCTTTGAACAATCACATATTCTTGCCGCATTGCCACACAGTAATCATTCCGAAAGTTCGGCGGAGAACATATAATAACGCCTCTAACTAGCGTATCTCTAGCCAAACTGATGTACGAATCGATGCATAGCCCCTGAATAGAGTTTTCCTCGCAACCTTTCTTCCAACATTGCACTATCTAAAAGTTACTCTCGTCTGCCAATCTGCATGGGAATGAGTGGCGCNGTCTTCTCATCCACTCGCTTACTGGCACAATAATTTGACGCCATATCCGATTGATATAGAAAGGGAGGTAACATGATAGCTGTATAGAAGTACATGCCTGGTAACAATTAGATGACGAGATGAAGGTCAAAGGAGACTTACCATGAAAATGCTTTGTCGTAGTTTGGTGGAAGTGCTTCTACCAACAAGTGAGAAACTAGAGGTGAAGATCGCGCTACAAAATTGGCTAGATGCTGCTGCAGCATTTGTAAAGACGAAGGCANGCAATAATCGCATGTATTCTTCGTCTCTATCTCCGGTCTCGGATCCTGAGTTCTTGTGGATCTCCAGTTGCTTGTGTGAGAGTGCCGAAGAGAAAAGGGATGCAGCAGCNAAACGAGTTAGCAGTGCCGACTCGTAAGCAGAAGATTTAGTTTGGCCTCTACTTGTATTTAGAAAACCTTAGATACGAATTGAGTTCACTTACGTAACAGCGGAAGCAATGTCCAGTATAGTCAAGACCGCCACCANATGTACCGCCCATATGCTCCAGGGAGGAGAGATGAAGATCTGAAGCATTCGGACGAGCTGAAGTTCCTGTTAGTTGGAAGCGAGCTATTAAGGTAGGCAGACTGTCTTACGTTATTGCTGGTAAGAAGTTGGAGATTACACATAATAATTGCGTCAAGCCAGGAGTACATCTCTGCTGGNTGGGGTTTGGTCGCAATTGCAATGAGTCCAGCAATACCTAGGCCTACTGAACTGGTACCGACAATGATTCCTATAATTTTCTCCCAACGGTAATCGTACTCAGAGACATGGACTTCCGCTCTGGATAGATTTCTGATATCGAGGTAAGTGAGCGTGCTGCTTANTATAGGTCCGACTGAAAAGCAAATCGCAAGGCTGACTGATACGAAGGGTGCCATAGTGACAAGAGTTGGTGCAGTACTGAATATGGGGGGCTCGCACCTTTTGTACATGCTTTACTTCGTAAACTGGTTCCGTAGAGTGGAGCTCAGGGAGAGTTACACCGAGAAATAAGTCCAGACAGCTTCAGGCATAGCCATGGAAAACTCGATAAACTTGCAGTGTTCGACCTTGTTAGCCAAGAAGATAGGACTTGGAAGTAGTTGTGATGGCTGCAGGTGCCCGCATCATCAGGAGTGTTATATCGTATATGCAGCCGCACAGCCTCCGTCAAGGCTTCCAGTGGATGCTATCATGTGCCCTAGAAGTCTATCTATTCTCTCTGCATCGTCTTTCCTAAGATTACCAGGACGTTTGAGATTTAGATTGACCGAAGTTCGTGATATTAGAGAAATTGGCAAATTCCTAAGACTTAGACCATGTTCAAATGCAGCAGGATGTTTCCAGGAACACAGCGTTTCTAGGAGCAGGGTATTTCTAGGAGCAGAGCGTTTCTAGGAGCAGGGTATTTCTAGGAGCAGAGCGTTTCTAGGAGCAGAGCGTTTTTAGCAATGCTGTGTTTCTAGAGAGCTACTTTTATAAGTACCCTGCGCTACTGTCAGTAATTGAATAGCTTCGGCCTTAGTCTTCTGCTTAGCTTAGGATTTGAATAAGATGTCAACAAGCCGAATTAGCTTGCTTCTTTACTATTTCAGCTTGTGACTCAGTTAAAAACCTAATTTGCTCGTTGCTATACAGAAAAATTACCTAATTAACTAGTTAGAATACTTGTTCTTGTTGTTCTGATTTCATAGGAGTATCTACGTATAGTTTCTGTATCAATATTGATTAGATTTGCTATGGTAATGCCAACGTTGGCTCGATGAGACCGCTGAACTCGCTAAATATGCACTAGCGCTCGTGGCACAAAATAGGTATCGAGAGGACATCAATAATTATCTAGTATTTCATAGGATCACAATAGCGTAACCATCCTTATCGGACTTTCGTTCGCGCGTCTTCGACCTCTTCTACTCATCTTTATTGTCTTCATTAGCAAACTTTGGGGAGTCGAACAGGCAGCGTAGAAACGATAGAGACAGCAGTATCAATTATGAAGCTTTAGCAAATAGCCTTCTACAACTTCTGGAATATTTTCCATCTACCTCCCCTTCACAGCCAGATTAAGTTAATCGATATTCATTCTATGTGCACTACAAAATACGATAAAACCTATTATGCACTTCTACCCGTAGCCACTCTTTACAAAGATGAGTGTCCTTAATTTCGTTCTCTTGCCTATAGGAGCTAAGAAAGTTCAAAGATGCTGTTGTTGGCCATGAAGGCGGCGAAACTCCTTGAATTATCGAGCAAACAAAGGGGTCAAGTTCCCGACTTAGCTGACTTCCTCCAGGATATGTATTAGTGATGTATGTAAGTAGGGCTGGGAACCTTCGTTCAGGAAAGTTGTGGTCATTGCTAGATGTGTTAGATAAAATATGCCTAGGATTTATGGAAATCATACATCTTAGCCGCTAATTCAGGACTGCATGTTAGTAGGATACCAAGACCAAAGTGTGATGCTATTATAGACCACCTTCTGCCGATCGCCTTGTGTTTTCGAAAGCTCTCTCGCAGCTGATGTTCTGTTCGTATAAGGACATCGCCAGAAGCCTTACTAAGCCCTCCGATAAATTTATCCGTAGCAATAGTGGCTGCATTCTGACCGCGGGAAAGAGGTCTATATCTTTCCAGATTATCTTGCATATTGATGCAAAGTTCTTCGAAATCGTGGTAAAGTAAAATTCTTAAGAATCGGAATTTTAGACTATCTATACCCGAACGACGCCTGAAGGTTTCAGCGTGGTAATACCTTCTAGACAAACTTTGAATTCTTGAATCTTCGCTAGCGGTAATTTTTGGAACGGGAAGATAGCCGAAGTCTGTCTGACTCCATCTGCGGCAAAACAATCTCAAGAACTTCCCTATATCTTCCTGAAGAAAGTGATCACCAAGCCAAATAATGCTTGCTATATGGTTCTGAACTTCAGGGTGATGATGATCTAGCCGCTGTATGCGTCGAGCGTAAAGGGACTTCGGAGATCCCTCCCGCCATATAGGCTCATGTTCTTGTATTGGGCTAGGGGTGGATGCAGGTGGTGATGGTGATATCGAAGCAGAACTTATGTAGGAAGGTAAAAAGGACGTGCTTGGAGCGCATATAGGAGCCCCTGCTTGGGCATCGGAGTCGTGGGTCACTGAAGCACCTATCTCCTGATTTCTGTCTATTTCGAGCTGAGAGCGGCTAGTGGGAAGGAAATCGGTCGAAAGTTGGGTATCAAAAACGGTTGGGTGCGATGAGTGCTCAGACTGCGCACCTTGTATAGAGAAATCCGAGCGGCTACCAAAAGACAGTCTATGTGGTAAAAGCTGTGGCCAAATGTATTCTAGATATTCAGGTTCCGCCCTTGCGAGTCGGCACAGAAAAGCTTTCACCATCGAGATAAGCTGCGGGGAGTTAGCAGAATCTTGGTTGGGCTACTTGTCGTGCCTCTTCTTCTCTCATTCCAGCCTGGATTTGATCCAGAAACGGCTCATCAGCAGCAGACTCCTGCCTCTTGTAAGAAAGGGTATTACTATTATCATCAAACTTACAAGATATATGGCGCGCATAATGTCTTAGTGTAATAGTTCTCTAATTCGTGGTACGAACACAAGACAGTAGCACAAAATTTCTTATGTAGATTAGGAAGTTGACTTAAGCGCTAAATCTTATGCTTAGCCAGACACACTTAATAGCTCTAATGCGCCGTAATGCCAAGCCAGTTAGAAGTAAGCATTATGATACAGCATGGCATCAGGAATATGTAGGGATTTTCACGGTCCAATATACTGTCAAAAGAACTAAACGTTTTTAACACTAAGGAGCATGTAAGTTACCTCCGTTTGCAGCGAAAATCTTAGTAGGCCAGAATGAACTAATAAAAACGCAGGGTCATCAGATGTTCTGGCACGATACTGTGTTTGATTGGCTGATTCCAGCTTACCAGGGTTTCCGCCATATAGTTAGGAAGCGGTGTTTGGAGCTTTCGCGGTCCAATGTACTCTCAAAAGAAATTAAAAGTCGTTAGCACCCTATCATGCTTGGCAGGTATACGAAGCGATTTTTGACCCAAATGCAATTCCTGATTGTTCTTTAGTTCGAGTCTTTTTGCGGAGTCTGCTACGCGCTGTCTTATTCTGCTCCTTAATTTTCAAGTTGTAAGTAAGCACTAAGGTAGTAAATTTGTTAAGATATCCACGCGTGCTATAGGCGAGCGAGCAGATACGACGGTATATATATTGTAAAGAGATAGGGAGCTAATTGCGGTCTGTAGGGAAGAAAAGCTGTTATGCGATTAATTTGATTATTATTTTTTAACGTCCCGTGTCGGCCCGAAGGCTATATAAGACGTGAAAGCTGATAAGGCTTACAAGTATCTACGCAGTGCTATGAATTTGGTGTAGTTGGGGGAGGGGGTTATCTGAATCGAGGTGAGGCTCGTAGCCTAGTGTCGAGGGGGGTAGTAGGGGGTCTTGCGGGTAGAAGAGGTAGGTAAAGTGGGTGTAGGGCAAGGGCACCTGCTGTGGGTGTTGCCTTAGTTCTCAAGGTTTCCTTTGTACCAAGTCTGTGTCGCAGCCTTAGTTTCCTCAATAAAGCTAATTGTGGCTTGTATGCCTGTGTTTGTGTGTAGTAAGAAAGCTAGCGATAGGGGGTCCCTGCTAGCTTCTTGCATCTTTGCTCTGGCCTCCTGAAATAGCGTTCATCTGAGTAGGATATGTGCAGGATCTTGAGTTGCTCTATAGTTGCAGGGGCACACTTTAGAGTCTACTTTTCCTCGCTTGAAGAGGAAGTCTCTTAGGTAACAGTGTCCCAGCTTGAGCTGAAAGAAGGCGCTAGAAATTTCTCTACTATTGAAGGAGTAGCGATCTGCTTTCTAATCTTCCACCTATACCTTGCGGCATAAGTGTTGGGGTTGAGAGTGATAGCTTTCCTTCTGTACTGTTCTAGATAGCTATGCCACTCCTGCTCGCCTAGCTGCTTGATCCGTGTGCCTATAACAGCTAGGCTAGATTAATTTGATTACTGCTAGAGGAAATTTATATGTTTTTCGGTGTTATTCTATGTGTCTTTACCTGGCTAGTTGTATATAGCGTTATTCAATTATATATAGGCTAGGTATAGCGATGTAGATTCTTCTAAGCTTCTGCAAAGGGGCACAGGTTAGTGCTGCGACTTACCTGCTTGCTACTCTTGGTACTTATACTAACAATACATATCAAGCTATACCTAGTTAGCTCGATTCTTACATGAGTCATCTCGTGACTTCAGGCCTATAAATAAGCGTAGGTTAGAGTAAAAGGTAAACTCAGCACAATTTGCAGATTTACTGCTACAATTTCGAGTATTTAGAATTATCTTGTGACGACATAACTAGAAGTATCTAAATATGCCTATAGCCTGGAGACCCGAGAAGACTTTCCAAGATTTCATCAAATACAATATCCATTTTCGCCAGAGAGGGCAGGAGATGTATCAAGGCAGAGTATTTAATTACAAAGGTCATGTTAGAAAACGGATTACTAGAAACTACATATCAGCATGATATATATGAAATTGAGGGAAGCTTAGAAGTTATTATTATTATTATTCCATTATAGTCCTGTATCAGCCGTTGGCTATGTAGGACTTTGGCCAAAGGCCGTTCTATCTAACTAGTTACAATTTGGTACGTTGTGCTATATTGCGTGACTGTGGTGCTTCGGCCTTTATCTAGCTAAGCTTTGACTAGCTTT